GGCATATGTGTATATGCACAGGTATCTTCCTCAGTTGCTTCCCACTTCATTTAAAAAAAAAACTTTTATTTATTTATTTATTTTACTTTTTCGAGACAGGGTTTCTCTGTAGCTTTGGAGCCTGTCCTGGCACTAGCTCTTGTAGACCAGCCTGGCCTCGAACTCACAGAGATCCACCTGCCTCTGCCTCCTGAGTGCTGGGATTAAAGGCGTTTGCCACCACTGCCTGGCTTTAAAAAAACTTTTAACGAACATGCCATGTGTGTAGATGTGAGGTCACCTGCTCCTGCCATGAGCAAGACCCTCCTCCAGACCTGAAGACATTAATGGACAGTTAGATGATGGCAGACGTGCACAAGGAATACCACTGTTACACTAAGCCCCTTATGTGTCGTGAGGAAGGAGAGAGACAACACAGTTTCCACATAAGCAGGGTCATTGATGGATCAGGGCAGCAGGACAAGGACTTGGGGTCTTGTTTCTCCTGACAGTCCCAAGCAGGGGCAAAAGCAGGTTTATAAGTACAAAAATCCCAATTTTCACCAATCAGAAGTTAAAGATTAGGGACTTTCCTTGTGTGGCCCATCACTGCCAACTGGCATACAATGCAAACCTTTCAGTCCCATCCATCAGACTGATTTGTCCTTTGACTATGACATAGCATCAGGTCATGTACATTTCCATATGAAGACTTGCTAGATAAACTTTTGATACTCAAAAACATTTTTAACCTTCATTCTTATGTGTAACTTTTTTTATGTTTTATATGTTTACATGTTGTACAGCATGGACAGGCAGTGATTGAGGAGGCCAGAGGGCGTCAAATCCCCTGGGACTGGAGTTGGTGTGAGCTGCCACATGGCTTCTGGGAAGGAAATACGGGTCCTCTCCACCGAACCATCTATCCAGACCTCCACTTCATTTCTGAAAGGATCTCTTACTACACCTGGAGCTAATTGAGGCTGGCCCCATCAAGCTCCTGGGATAAACCTGTCACCTTCCTGGCACTCGGATTACAGCAAACATTGCCCTGGCTTTTTATCTAAGTGCTGGGGCTTGAACTCAGGTTCTCATGCTACAGGGCAAGTACTTTACTAAATGAGCAATATACCAAGCCCTAGTTTCGATTTCTATAAAAATACATATACCAATAAAGAAATCTGTGGGTTTGTTGTGCAGGACATCCCGTGCTCCTGTAAAGAATTTCTGTGACCCCTTCTCTGCTGTTCAGTCATGGCTTTGTGCTGCTTCCTCATCAGCAAGGCTGAGAATAAGTGTCAAGTATCCACACGCATGTGCACAGTTCCTTCTCCCAGTCCCCTGTACAGGGAGTGCTATTTGGGGTATTATTGTCTTATTTCTGTGATCAAAGAGCTGACAAGAAAGCAGTATCATGGCTTGTTTGGTCTCAGAGTTTGAAGGTGCAGTCTATCATGTGGAGGAACGCAGGGTGGTAAGTATGGGTTCAGCTGTGTTGGGAAGCAGATAAAATGAGTCATGGTATTCAGCTCACTTCCTTTTTATTCTGCTGGAACTCCAGCCCATGGGATTGTATCATCCACATTCACAGTGGGATTTCTTGAAATGTAAAATAATTAATCTTATCAGTAAAAACCAGGAGCTAGATATCAGGGTAAACCTTGAAAGATCAGGGAGGCAGAGGAGGACCATGTACACTGCAAAGATTTGTCACTCGAATTGGTTTAATAAAAAGTTGATTGACAAGTAGCCAGGCAGGAAGTAGTGGCAGGGTGACCAACCTAAGGATGATGGGAAGGAGAAGGGCAGAGTCAGAAGCCACCAGCCAGATGCAGAGATAAACATGCCATGCTAATAAAGGTCCCACCATGTGACAGTGTAAATAAGGAATATGAGTTAACTTAAAATGTACAAGCTAGTTAGCAATAAGCTTGAGCCATTGGCTGAGCATTTATAATTTATATTAAGCCTCTGAGTGATTATTTGAGAGTGACTATGGGACAGAAAAATTCCATTTACATTTCTCTCTCACTTAAGCTTCCCTGGAAATGCCTCTGAAGAAGACATGCCCAAGATGTTTCTCCTGGATTCCAAAGCCAGTCAATTTTACAAGGATATATAAACATATATAGTATGTTTAGTTTTAAGTTGAGCTACATAGTAAAACTAGTTCCTTATTCTTCCCCTAGGTTTTTGTTTTCATTGTATATTTATTGGTTATTCAATCTCCAACTGTCATAAATCTCCTTCACCATCACCCTCTTTCCAAAGCCCCTGACCTCTAATCTGGATTGATCACTCTCTGTGAAGCACTGTGCAGATTCGCACAGAGCCAACCATAAGTTACAGGTGTACGAGACCCAATAACAAGAAGACAATGGCGTTGACTGCCTTTCTAGAGTCTTTTTTTTTTTTAAAGATTTATTTTTTATTATGTATACAACATTCCTTCCATGCATGCCTGCAGGCCAGAAGAGGGCACTAGATCTCATTATAGATGCTGTGAGCCACCATGTGGTTCCTGGGAATTGAACTCAGGACCTCCGGAAGAGCAGTCAGTGCTCTTAACCTCTGAGCCGTCTCTCCAGGCCCCTGCCTTTCTAGAGACTTTAGTGGGCAATTCAGGAAAACAAAACAACAACAAAAAAAGTGAGCAGCAACTTCTGAAGCAACAAGCTTTATATTTCTAGCTCTGTTCTGAGCTTGCGTGGAGCCTTCCTGTTAGGTGGCAGCACTCCTGTGCCTGTCACGGGTGATAGGACTATCTAGTCTGGCCAAGGTGCTTGGTCTCCATGTTCTGAAGGCAGCAGAAAGGTCCTAAAGCTCCTTTTACTATTTCTCAGGTCTTAAATCATGGACTCAAGTGGAGGGTTTTTTCCAGTCTTGCTCCATCTGTCTTAAGCTGATTCTGGATTTGGGGAGCAAAGATGAGGATGAATACTGATAGACTGGGCAAGGAATTGGAGGAGTGTGTATGTACATTTGACCACGCCCACTTTGGAACTTGGCCACGGGTCCTCTGTAGAAGAGAAACCTAGCAACCTAGGCTGACCAAGATATGGCGCTGGACAGAGAGCAGGCACTCTTGTGCAGATTTGACCCTAGAGTCTAGGAGACAGCTTGGATTCCTGGGTATTTCTGGATACCTTAGCTCTCTGAAAATTAGGGAAGGAACTCAGAGCTAGTGCTGCTCAGACTAAGAGAACTGAGTGCATCTGTGTTCATGTTCCTAAGAAATGTAATCCCCTAACAACAAGAGTGCCCCCTGGAGGGCAACATTATTTTGTAAAACCTTTCCCTGTGAGCTCTCTGACCAGCTGCCCCTGGCAAGTGTTTTGTGACCACCTGTAGACTGCTCTAAGCAACCAAACTACATAGGCTGAAATCACCTAGCTCCTAGCAAGCAAAGATGCAGGTCACAATAATGATTCAGAGTGGTCTAATTTCATAGCTAGACAGAACAATCACTTGAGACACAAACATGGTTTGACATGCCTGAAATCCCAGTATTTGGGAGGCCAGGGATGATTGTTGTTGATTTTGAGAGCTGCACTTCCACTCCACCAAGCCTGGCTTCGCATTAAAATTCTGTCCTCTTTGCCCAAACCCTCACTCCAAACTGTAGGCCTGGTGATCACTGCAAAACTGGGCTGTGTTAAGCTCTGAAAGGGACAGACAGCAGGCAAGCAGTTCTAGAGCAAATCACAGTAACACAGAAGCAGCAGCAGAATACGGTTAGGGCAAGTATGTGGTGGTGGGAAAGGGCAGGGCAGTTTCATCACCTGAGGAATGAGGCCTGAAGTGGGGAGTCTGGCTTTTGCCCAGTACAAAGCACAAATGGAGCTATGCACAGCAGGGAAACCATCTTGTGCTCTGGGAGCAGAAGAGTCTGCAGGCAGTACAAAGTACTGCCCACAAGGTGGCGGCTACAAAAGACCTTTGCATAGAAAAGCAGGGAGACCTCAGCTCTGAGAACTATTCCCTAGTCCTGTTTCCATGAACCCTCGGGTGTTAGATCTGAATGCTCTTGGAAGACATCTGAACAACCCAGTGTTGGGTCCAAGCAATCATGATTTCCACCGTGCCTAAGTTGCCTTGCAAAGGAATTCTATTATGAATGGGAACCCACAAGTCACAGCATTTTGGAGCTGAAAAGGGTTTAAGAGTATTGATGTTCTCAATTTATAGGTGGCCGAGCACCCTTCCCCTGCATCTTCTGATATCTTAAGGGTACAAGCACAAGTTCGGGCTCATTGGGCACTGGGGGCACGACCTGCCTTCCTAACCTCTCAGGGAGTCTTCTGAGGTAGCCACTGGCCATGCTGCCGCTCCCTCTGCAGGGGCTGGGAGGTGTCTGCTGAAAGTACAGCACATTCTTTCCTTGGCTTTGCGATTTAGCTGCGATTCCCAGTTATAAGGGGAAGAGAGCTTCCTGTATTCTGCCCAGGTACTGGATTAAGACCAGAGTGGGAATCATTTATCAACACTTCTTTTCCAAAAACTGTCCTGTGTTGTAAATATTGTTTCATATTTCTATTGTGAGATGATGGATGGTCTGAGGCTTCAATTTCACAGACAAATGAGCAAGTGAAGGGAGACCTGCTGGAGAAGGCTGGGAGCCTTGCTGGGAGCCTCTGGTGATGCAGATTTCACACAAGCCCGTGATGAGCAGACCTTATGCACTATGCTGTGATTCAAAAAAGAAGCCACATTTCATGTTCTGAGACCCACATCCCTCCACACAGCAGGCCAGATGCTGCCCAGCTGCCTGCTCCTCTCCCGATGCGGAAGAAACGACCTCGTGCTGCTTGTCCCCTAGGAGTCCATCGGTAGTGCTTTGTTTTCTGAAAGTATAGAACACATACAACAGGGACTCCTCCTTGGCTAGAACCCAGAGTCCACCCTACGGAAGGGCCTGTGGGCATGGCCGCGACGGAGAAAGGGAGGGCAGATTCCCAACTACAGTTGCTCCAGTCACCACTGCCCACACCCCAGAGTACTAAGCTACACACAGACAAAGAGAAAGCTTTATTAAATCACTCATTAAAGAATAAATTAGGCTTCTTTAGGCTTATAAAAAAAGTATTCCTAGGCTCTGAGGAAAGTAGTCTTATGTCAGTCCCAAGGCACTTTTCTCCCCAGGAGCTGGTTGGTCACTTTCTGTGGAAGAAAACACAGGATTTGAAGTCAGACGCAGTCACAGGGCGGCTGGCCATCCCCACCTCGGCACACTGCTGAGGACACTCCTACATCTTGTGTATGTTACTCATTTATAGACATATGGAAATTAGGAAAATTGTGTTCCTTAAAGTGCTTTGGAAAGATGTCAATAAGCACACCTTCTCTATAGAAACAGATGCTAGGATGGTGATGGACTGCCCAGGGCTGACAACACCCAGCACGGCAAAGGCCCATGTGATGCTAACACAGCAGGAAGGCCATGTAGCTCCTAGGATCTCCCCAGTGCCCAGGCTCCCGGGTGCTCCAGACATGGTTTGCAAGTCTCACATTAGTCTGGTCTGGTCTTTAGTTTCTGCCTTCCAGAGCCCTCTACATAGTGAGAAGCCTGGGAGAAAAATCAGAGCTGTGAAGAACATGACCCTTTAAGCAGTGTCCAGTGTGGCGTCTACGGAAACTAACTGGTACCCTGCCCTAGGAGGCTCTTGGCGGGCTCCATCCTCTAACTCCCTGCCGACTCACAGACATTGTCATTTACACTGGAAATGCAGCTCAGCCATGAGGGCTAAATCGCCTGTGTGAGGTCTGGTTTAGCTGCGGACACATGAAGAATGCTGAGTCACAGCTGCCTATGTTTGAAGTCTCAGCACTCAGCCACTGTATTCAAGTGTCAGTCAGGCTGCTTCTATTCCCTCCGCTATAGGCCTGATCCATCCCTTCATGGACAGAGCGTCAACCCAGCTAACCGTTTTAAAGTGCTGAGCTCGCAGTCGGTATGATTTATATTCTGATTTCCTCTTCTCCTCTTCTCTCTTCTTCTTCACTTCTGGAAGCCGCTCATAAATCCTAAGAAATGGCATTCATGAGAAGACAGAAAGCAGTACAGTTATTTGGCATGAAGGTACATGATGGCTCTCCCAACACCTCTGGTCCTATGCTGCCCAGGCATCCAGCCTGTGCACAGAGCCTGATAAGCACCATGTCTATGGATGTGGAGTCTGGCCCTGGGGTGCCCTCAATCTGGAAGAGAGATGAATGAAAATATAAAACATTGATAATACTGCTTATTTCCTCAAAAGAAAAAAGGTAAAATTATGTTTTCCATGCTATCTGCAAAACTATATAGTTTCGATATAACAAAAAGGTAGAACTAAGTAGATACAGAGTACACAGACACACCCCTATGTATGCAATATCAGGATCAGCTGAGGTGTCCCAGACTAGTCTGGAACTCAGTCTAGCCTTAGTTTACTAAATGCTGGGATTATATGGATATGCAACACCATATCCAGCTCATTATTGCATCTTTAAAAAACTTTTTGGTTAACGCACAAAGAAATGGACTGGACTGTGGCACGTCACACTGTATCATTGCTTCTCTTATTTGCCCTCCTCGTCCTCTCTACTCCTCTTGCTGGTCCCCTTCTTTCCAAAATAGCTCCCCCTTTCTGTTTTTATGACATACACAGTCCTTGGCCTCTTGTAGTCTCCCCATTCTTCAAGTATGCCTTTCTACTTTATGTTCTACATATGGAGAAAATACCGCATTTGTCTGAGTATAGCTTATTTTGCTTAACACAATGATTTCTAGTTTTACCCACTTTCCTGCAAATATACTATCTGTCTTTACAGCTGAAAAAAAAACCCATTGTATATATGCCCCAATTTTCTTTACCCACTCATCTGCTGATGAATACTGGAGCTGATTCCATTTGTTGGCTACTGTGAACAGTGCTGTGATATGCATGGGCATGCAATTATTTCTGTGATATGTTGAATAAAGCCCTTCAGGTGTACATCCACAGGTGGTATAACTGGGTCACATGATAGTTTTCATACTGAGTCTACGGTGGCTGTAGTGGTTTACACCCCCTCCCACAGTGCACTTCCTCTCCCCACGCCCTCACCGGCTGTCATTTGTTTCCTTGATGCTAGCCAGTCATTCTGACTGGAGACAAAATCTCAAGGGTCTTGATTTGCACTTCGCTGATGGCTAAAGATGTTGAACACATTTTCAAATATTTATTGGCCATCTGATTTTTCTGTTGTGACTTGTCTATTTAGTTCATTAGCCTATTTAATGGTTGGATGACTCTTTTAACATATTTAATCTTTTTAGAGTTTCCTTAGATTTCAGGTAATAATCCTGTGTCGCATGGTGTTATGAAACGTTACTCTTGTCTCTTATGTTTGACCACTGGGTCCCCAGCTGGTGGCACTGTCTAGAAAGGTTGTGGAACCTCACTGGAAGATGTGGATCATCAAAAGGGATGAGCCTTGAGCTTGGACCTACTTCCTGTTCACTCGCTACTTCCTGAGGGGTGCAATGTGATGGGTCACCCAGCCTCCCGCCCTTGTCACCATGGCTTCCCTGCTGCCTGCCACTAAGATGGCCCTTATCCCCCTGGAACTATAGGCTAAAACAAACCCTTTGTTCCTTACAGCAACAAAAATATAACTAAGACAGATATACAACTAGCAAAGATTTCCTTCCATTCTGTAGCCATCACTTCACTCTGCTGATGTTTCTTTCTTTGCTATGAGAACAGAAACTTTAATTTCATGAAACTTCGTTTTTAATTCTTAGGATTATTTTCTGTGCTTTTCAGAAAGTCTTCACATCTCCCTGTTATCTTGATGTGCTTGGCCTCTAGCAGTTTCAGTTACCACTGTATTTAAAACACAGGGAAACAGAAAGTACTAGAACAGCTGTCCCTGTAAAACCCACAGTTAACGGAGAAGGGACACTGACTCTGAGGGCCAAGCAGGCTTCAGGAGCTCAGGCTTACGTTAAGAATGAAGAATCATTAGGACTAGAGACAGAGAAGGGAGCAAAGTATACCAGCTGGGGATTGTGCACTGGTAGACACGGAGCTACAGAGTTGTGGAACAGGGAAACAGGCGGGGAGAGACTGAGGTGGGCTGCAGTCACGTGAAACTTACACTCCATCCTACACAGATAGGGTTCAGTGCCCCTAACTTCAAGCTGAGAGGAGCTAAAAAACAAGACAAGTGCATGTAGGATGGAGGGAAGAATTTTGAGTAATTGTTACTTTCTTCTTCCTACTTCTAAAAATATTTGCAGATCCCAACTGAGACAAACTGAGGCCCCTGTCACTGGAGACAGAGCTAGGCTTGATTAAAACAGGCCTGGCAGAAACCAGAGAAGCAAATAGCTTAGTAGGTGGGAGAGAGTCAGTGGGCGGGTCAGTGTGAAATTGCTAAGTCACGGTGCAGGAGGAGGGACAGCCCAGCTGCATAGGGGTTCAGCAGGCAGGGACTCTAGCCCCAAATTAGGTGCCAATCTTTTGCAGATTATAATAAAACAGTACCACATTTTCCCAAGATTATTACAAGTCAAATCATTGAAAAGAAAGCAGTACCGAGAGTAGTGGCAAACATCTTTAACCCCAGCTGTCAGGAAACACAGGCAGGATCTCTGTTGAGTTCCAAGCCAACCAGATCTACAGAGTAAGCTCCAGGCCAGACATGAAAACAAACTAGCATCAATAAAAACAAACAACCCATCCTGTCAGCAGCTCCACCCAACCACCTGACTGCTCATCAGCTTCTGATGAGCCCCTAGAAACAAACTCTGTAACTTAGTTTTTGAATGGCATTCTCATGATCAATATTTGTGTATACCAAACTGATTAACTCATGAGTAGATGATGCTTGCAATGGCACAAGATTTAAAAAGTTTCTGAAAAACTGGTCTGAAGAAATGGTTCAATCTCAGTGGTTAAGAGCACTGGCTGCTGGAATTGGTATAAAAGCAAACAGGAGGACCAATGGAACCAACTCAAAGACCTAAATATCAATCCACATACCTAAAAACACCTGATTTTTGACAAAGAAGCAAAAAATATAAAATGAAAAAGAAAACATATTCAACAAATGATGCTGGTATAACTGGATATCAACATGTAGAAGAATGAAAATAGATCCATATACAAAACTCAAGTCCAAATGGATCAAGGTCCTAAACATAAGACCAGTCACACTGAACCTCACAGAAGAGAAAGTGGGAAGTACACTTGAACGCATTGGCACAGGGGACCACTTCCTAAATATAACCCCAGCAGCACAGACACTGAGAGAAACAATTAATAAATGGGACCTCCTGAAACTGAAAAGCTTCTGTAAAGCAAAGGACATGATCAACAAGACAAAACGACAGCCTACAGAATGGGGAAAGATCTTCACTAACCCCATCAGACAGAGGTCTGATCTCCAAAATAGACAAAGAACTCAAGAAATTGGTCACCAAAAGATCACATAATCCAATAAAAAAAAAATGGAGTACAGACCTAAACAGAGAACTTTTAACAGAGGAATCTAAAATGGCTGAAAGACACTTAAGGAAATGCTCAACATCCTTAGCCATCAGAGAAATGCAAAACAAAACAACTCTGAGATTCCATCTTATACCTGTAAGAATGGCCAAGATCAAAAATACTGATGACAACTTATGCTGGGGAGGTTGTGGAGTAAAGGGAACACTCCTGCATTACTGGTGGGAATGCAAACTGGTACAGCTGCTCTGGATATCAGTATGGTGATTTCTCAGAAAATTAGTAAAAAAAAAAAAACATATCTCAAGACCCACCAATACCACTTTTGGGTATATACCCAAAGGATGCTACATCATACCATAAGGACATGTACTCAACTATGTTACGGCAGCTATTTGTCACAGCCAGGACCTGGAAACAACCTAATGCCCCTCAACCAAAGAATGGATAAGGAAAATGTGGTCTATTTACACAATGGAGTAATAGACAGCAGAAAAAAAATATTGACATCTTGAAATTTGTGGGCTAATGGATGGATCTAGAAAACATCATATTGAGTGAGGTAACCCAGATCCAGAAAGACAAATATAATATATAATCACCATAAGTGGCTTTTAGACATAAAACAAAGAAAAACCAGCCTACAATTCACAATTCCAGAGAACCTAGACAACAAAGAGGACCCAAAGAGAGACATACATGGATCTTATCTACATGGGAAGTAGAAAGACAAGATCTCCTGAGTAAACTGGGAAAGTGGAGAGCATGAGAGAGAGTAGAAGGGGGGAGGGGAGAGGAAGGAAGGGGAGCAGAGAAAAATATATAGCTCAATAAAAACAATTAAAAAAAAAAGAGCACTGGCTGCTCTTGCAGAGGACCCATGTGGCAGCTCACAAATGTCTTTAACTCTAGCTCAAAGAAATCCAACACCCTCTTTTGGCCTCTGGGAACACTGCATGCATGTGGTTTTGCACACTTATATACATATGGGAAAAACATTCATATACACAAAACAAAAATAAACCTTAAAAACAACAAAAATCTGGCCTCTCATATCCTTATATCCGGGATCCACTCAGTTGTTGTTTCCCAAAGGGAACCACTATTACCAAGTCTTTTGCAACTTACAGAAATATTTTATGCATGTATGTATAGGTCTACACAGCTATAAAAGCAAACACATTTCTTTTTCCAATGTAGCAATGGACTGAAACTGAACATGCTTCCGAAACTCAAGTTCCTAACTTAAAGTCAATTTCATTATTTGTTACTGTGTTGGAAAAACTCCTAGTAATGAGATTGTTAAGATAAAGAATGTGGCCCAAAATAAAATTTTTTTAGTTTCATCCAGATTTCTAGTCAAGACAAGCTCATCCCCAGCATTCCCCTTCTCCCTTTGAATAGGAACCACTCACACCCTATCTTCTATTTCTCTCTTCCTTCCTTGTGCTCTGAGATGTGCCTCACCATTAACCTTCTCACATGCTTCCAACTGGGCACGCTCTGCGGGCTGGGAAGCTGAGTGATCACCCGGTGACCTGGAGTGTAGCTGCATAATTACTCTCATTCTTTCAGACTCACCGTCTGGTCCTCTGGATCATTTCCTTCTTTCCAATAGGCTTGTTCTTCTGGGCAGTCAGGAGGGCTAGACAAGGGAAAGGTTTATCAGGAGACAGTGGCCATAAGGAAAGGTGTGGCGCTGTAGAGCTATGCAGAGGAGCTGCTGGGCCCTAACCTAGTGGGAGGCACAGGGCAGTGAATAAAAGATCAAGGGCAAGGCCAAAGCCTGAACTGCAGTAGGGGCACTGTGACCAAAGTCTATACCCACTGCGAGGGGTGGGGGGGCAGGCCACAGTGTGGACCAGCTGACAAGTAAGGCTGACAGCTTTGGCTGGTTATTTTACATTTTCACTGCTTTCTTGTGTTATTTTATTGAGACTTGCCAGTTGGTGTAACTGCTAAGAGCACAGATCTTGGCTGTGAACCCCAGCTCCTTCACTAAGAAGAATGTTACCTTGGGCGAGCTATTTAGTCTCCCTGGGAAGTAAGAGTATAAATACAGTGCTGTTCTCAGTCAGGTGCTGTGAGAACCGTGCTGGGCAGACCTAGGTCTGTGTTTAACCATTACTGTTTTCATATTACACTCGGAAACGAGGCACACAAGGCTAGTTCACAAAAGAATCATCCTTATGGCAGCCTCTCTTTTTAAAGAGATTTCTATGCAGTGACAAGGCTAGCAGAATTGGGGTTACTGGGGTCACAGATGAGTGGAAAGCTAGGTTGGGCCAGTCTACGAGCTAAGGAGACTCGAGTCTCAGCAAGCAAAGCCACATTCAGCGTCCTTACTGTGGCCTGGTGTCCAGCAGCGCTCGTCAGCACAGTAGCAGCCATTCAGCAAAAATGACAAGAGGCACCTCTCCTAGACAGGACAGGTGACAAGAGACACCTCTCCTAGACAGGACAGGTGACAAGAGGCACCTCTCCTAGACAGGACAGGTGACAAGAGGCACCTCTCCTAGACAGGACAGGTGACAAGAGGCACCTCTCCTAGACAGGACAGGTGACAAGAGACACCTCTCCTAGACAGGACAGGTGACAAGAGACACCTCTCCTAGACAGGACAGGTGACAAGAGGCACCTCTCCTAGACAGGACAGGTGACAAGAGACACCTCTCCTAGACAGGACAGGTGACAAGAGGCACCTCTCCTAGACAGGACAGGTGACAAGAGGCACCTCTCCTAGACAGGACAGGTGACAAGAGGCACCTCTCCTAGACAGGACAGGTGACAAGAGGCACACCTCTCATAGACAGGGCAGGTGACAAGAGACACCTCTCAAAGACAGGATAGGTGACAAGAGACACCTCTCCTAGACAGGACAGATGACAAGAGGCACACCTCTCCTAGGCAAGGGCCGCACCGCATTGAACAGAGCCTCCCGCTCACTCTGGAACAAGCTCTGTAGCTTCCTCTCCTGGACTAGTAGCTTCAGGCGCTTTATCCGCTCCCCAGAACGGGAGATGAAATCAGGTCTGTGAAGCTCAAGAGATTCCTAAAGGAGAAAAACCTCACGTTAATGACATGGCCTTTGCTCAAGTGCCCAGAAAAATGGCACCTGCCCCACAGGCTTGAGAGTCTGCAGGGGAGGGCAGCCCCAGGGAAACCAAAGGGAGCACAGAAACGCCTTTGGAAAAAGCTGAGAACTAAGGTAGGGTCACCTGCAACTCTTCTAAATGTTGATGTCAGAGGTCAGTTCATTCCCTTCAGACAAATTCACCATTAAATATCATTTCCTTTAGCAACCAAGGGACTGGCAAGGCCTGGGGAAGATCTCAGGGGTGAGCACCTGGTTAACACTGTGAGACCCTAGAACAATGCATCCTGACAAACCCCAGGCCTGCTGTTGAACATGTGGGAGCCCGCACAGAGCGAGCAGTGCCAGAGTACCCTCCTCTGTGTTGTCAGGAATGGTGGAACGACCAAAGTCCAGCAAGCCAGTCACACATGTTCCCACAAACAATATGGCTGAAGTCAACCTGACGTCACTGGACCTACCTGCAGGGTTGCTCTCACAAATGGCCTGAGAGGAGCCCGGGCACCATCTCCACCTGGGCCTCTCAGGGACCCACGACTGCCCATGCACTGCTCCTGCCAGTTTTGTTCCCTCAGGGGCTCTCTCCAGGGTTTGGTTTTGGTTACTGGTTCAAACCAGGAGATACCAGGGCCATAAATCTTGGGCAGGTTTTCCTTCTTAGATCCAGACTTTCTATTTTCCACAGGAACAAACCATGCGACACCTACAGGAAATATTTTCAAGTAGAAATTGAAAAGTTTTATTTTTCAATAATTGTACCCAACTACAAAGACATATATGTAACACCGACTTGCAAGGACTCATCTGCTAGGGGTGAGAACCCCTAGGGTGCCCTTGAGTTCGTCTTAACCACAGCAGGAATCTCTAAATGAAGTTCTAGTTACTTTCAAACCATGCCAGTGTTGTGGCTAGTGGCGTCAACATAGAGTCCTCAGAAGCAAGGGATCTCGGTGTTGCAAGTGACTTAGACACACCTTTGTGAGAGTCCCTGCCACCTGGAGTCAGAAACTGACCTTCGAAATGAAACAAACCAACCTTCACAGGAATTTGGCTTGTTCTTCCTTAAGTTTTTGTCCCGAAGATAATTGGTAAGGAACTTTTTCTCTTTGGCTTTTTCTTCTGACCAAGAAGTCACATCACTGTCCTCTTCCAATCTGGCTTCACTAGGACTGGGAGTTGGGAAAGTCACCCCAACATCACGAGTGTATTTTTTGACACTGGTCACAATCTCCAAGTTACCTGAGGGGAAAGACAGATGTATCTGGGAGCAGACTAGATAGAGTCTGCTTGTATACAGACTTTGGCAGGTTTAAAGTCAGGGGTGGGGGGAAGTGGGCAAAAAAGCAGACACAGGTTTAATTTCTAAGTGGGTTTAGCTACCACAGAACAAAAAAATATAAATTCAATTGGTTCAGACTTTCATCTCCAAGGGAGCAAAACCGTAAGCACTTCTGGACCTGGTGCCAATCACCTCGTAAGGATGAGGAACCTGCATAAGACCAAACTAGGCCCTCTGAATGTGGGTGACAGTTGTGTGGCTTGGGCAGCTTGTGAGGCCACTAGCAGTGGAACCAGTATTTATCCTACTGCATGAACTGGCTCTTTGGAGCCTATTCCCTATGGGGCCATACCTTGTTCAGCCTAGATACGGGGGGGAGGGGCTTGGTCCTGCCTTAAGTGATATGACAGACTTTGTTGACTCCCTGTGGGAGAGGAGGTTGGGGAGTGGGTGGGGTAAAAGATGGGGGGAGCTGGAGGACAGGAGGGAGAGGAACTGGGATTGGTATGTAAAATAAGATTTGAAAAAAGACTGACTTATATGCAGCCAAACACTCTTGAGGCATAAGCTTTGGATTCTCCTGGCCCCTCTCGCCATTCTGTTTACAACTCAGGACCCCAGGACGTCACTCACTTAGGCCATTCTCTTCCTCCTTTGTTTTTACAAAATGCACACAGCAGCAAACTGTACATATTCTGTACCTTGATTTTTCTTTTAAAATATATATGCCGGGGACCTCTGTGTGTTGGGAACTGAACCCAGAACTCTACAAGAGCACCCAGTGCTCTTAACCAGCTCCCAGAGAGCTTCCTCGTTCTATGCAAAAGTACAGTAATTAATTTCACCATTGTTATTGATGGCTATCACAGTTGATTTTAATTAAAAACCCTACGTTTTACACTTAGCATCTTGAACATATTTAAGTATATCTATTGGTCAAAACAAACAAACGCACGCTGGGTCAAAGGAAATTTAACACGAGCTCCCAAACTGCTCTTCACAGAGGCTGTGTTTGAACCCTGCTACAAAGACACTTAGTTTCCTACACTCTTGCTTAGAAACTTGAATTTTTTTTTGCAATTAATAAGCAAAAATCGTATCCAAATATACAGGTACTTTTAATCTTTATACCCTTTATCATGAGGGAGGTTAAATAAGTGTGTTGAAGAAGCATTTTTATATCAATGCAAAATTTAAATTCAAAGGCTTTACCAGCTTGTACACCCTTGTTCAACGTATGCACACTTTCCTCGTTGTAAAGAGTAGAAGCCAAGCTCAAGAAACTACCAGCAGATGAGCCGGAGTCAGAGGAAATCTCGTTTGCCACCTGGAAAAACAAAAGTCTCTGTTAAGAGTGATCAGTAGCCAGAGGAGTGGTCAGCTACAGGGCAAGCCAGCCCTCTCTAGTCAAGCTGGGACACAGCTGAAAGACGCTCGGGACCCATGTGGACACGTGTCTGTGACGTGAAGAATGCTGCTCGAAGGACAGGCCCAAGCTACGGCAATACAAAGAGAGCTGGAAATTTCTCTGGGATTCGAGAAAACTGAAGAAGCTGGTAGCTAAACCTTAGCCTGACACATCTCCAGAGTAAAATTCTCAGCTCGCACCTGTAGATAATTCTGGAGCTAAAAGAGATGCTAACTAAAGTGATGAAGTCCAGAGGACCCCTCAATCAGAGCAGACACACTTCTTATCTGACAGACAGCCACCAAAGAGCTGCATTGCACCTTAAGAAATCCCAAATGAGTCAAGCACAAAATACACGAAAGCCCCAAGGTCCTTTTTAACTATATTCAGAGCAAGTAGAGCACCGAAGTCAAGTTAAGGGATCAAAGCTGACACTGGTGGGTGGAAAAAAAAAATCTTCATAAACTGTTTTTGGTTTTTTTTTTTTTTTTTTTTTGGATAGGGTTTCTCTGTAGCTTTGGAGCCTATCTTGGAACTCATTCTGTAGACGAGGCTGGCCTCGAACTCACAGAGTCTCTGTCTGCCAAGTGCTGGATTAAAGGTGTGCGCCACTACCACCTGTCAAAAAACTGTTTCTTAAAAACAAACAAACAAAAAGTTGTCTGTATCCAAGCACTCAAACACAGAAGAGGGCAACAGCAGCCTCCTCCATCGCTCTCAATCTAGACTTTGGGCTTACATTTTCACAGCTAGATTGGGACGCTAGGAAGCCCCAGCAATCCTGCCTCTGCTTCCCTTCCCTCAGACCTGGAATAACAGGCACATAAATGATGTCAGCTTTGAACACTGGTTGGCATGATGGCACAGCAGTGCTCGCCCCCCTGAGATACCTCTCAAGCTGGAGTGTTTAAGCTCATCATAAAAATGTATAAGGATGGGAAAACTGGGGTGGGGGGACAGAATCTCTAGGGGAGAGGTTTGTTCATCTGAAATTTTAATTAAGTGCCAAATGGCATTTTCAAAGCAAGTTTGATAGATGTGTATTACATCCTTTAAACTATAAAAACTATACTCCAAGGTTTCCAGGAACTTAGCCCAGAATCTTGGGAAAAAAGAAGCCATGATAAGATATTTGACAGCAGGAAACATTTTGATTTTCAGAAAGGTAAGTATTGGAAACTGGTGAGTTTAACACCGTTGACCTGTCAAGTTCAATCAATCAGTAGGCATGTGAAAGTCAAGGCTAGCAAATGTCTGAGCATGGGAAAGATGACAACAACTGGCCTACCAAGGTAGCAGCTTTCCTAGTACACATGGTCCCCGAGTGGCAGCTTGTACGGTGTACTTGTATTTGAACAAAAGAATAACATGTTTGGGAACTAGGCAGAGTTCCAAGGATTGAAATGGCAACACACGCTGGTAGAAGCTCGATCAGTAAGTCCACACTTACCCTAGCGTTACTTCAACACTCAGAAAGACCCTGCGCAGACATCTTGCACTGCACAAATCCCCATTGAGCACCCTTGTGTCTCTAGGCTTGGCCATTCTTGCTTCATGTTTTATAAATAAACACCTTGGAGATTTGGAAAGCAGGATTCCTACATAATAAATACCCAGAGGGCCTGAGAGACTCTTTAGGAACAGGAGTATGGTCAAAATAAAACAAAGGGATGTTTAGTAGTGAAATTATGTAAATTAAAGGCCAGAGAGCACTGTGTAGACAGAACGAGGAAATTTTTGATGTAGAAGGGAACCTCCCCCCCCCAAAAAAAAACAAAGTCAGCTCCAAGCCTATAATCCTAAAACTTGAGCCTGCCTTTACTCGTCGTCTCTCAAGTCACAAAGCTGTCTCTTTGTGCCAGTTCCCTCACTTAGACTTGGAACTGAGGGTTTTGCTCCTGAAATTACAGGAAAAGTAGACAGAGGCTGAACATGCTGGTTTATACCTGTAATCCCAACACTTGGGAGCTGCAGGAGGACTGAGCCTAGGCTAGCCTGATGATACACAGTGAAGCCCTGTCTCAAAACAAACAAAGGAATTAAGACATACATATAACAAAAGAAATAAATCAACAAAAGAAATACTAGAAAAAATAAAATCTCAGCTCTTCATGAGTTCAAGCCCAGTTGGGGCAAAAAATTGAGACACCATTTCAAAACAAACAAATAAAAATGGTTTTGATGATAGACTATTAAACACAACAAAAACCCAACTAGTGTAAAACGTTGAGAATGCTATGATGTTAAAAGGCAAAATCTGCAAGTAGAGAAGAGACGCGATGGCAGGTAATACAACATACCTCTACAGTTGAGACACAAAGTACAGTAGGTGCCCGAATGGGCTGAGTCTCAAGAGAGAAAAGTCATTTCTGCATTCTAGCACTGAGAAATTTGAAAATAAAATTAAAGAAACAACTCATTCACAATAGAAAAACTACAAAGTATTTATAGGAGAAATTAAAAATGTTGATGAGACACTCATAAGTATGAGTCAGAAAACTCAAAAACTGCTAGGATGGCAAGTCTCTTCAGATTAATTTGTAGGTTCTCCATAAACCTAAAATATTCCAATGAACCTTCCTGAAGAAATTTGTAAGCTGATCTCAAACTTCCAGGGAAAGGCAAAGGATCATCAGAGACCAAAATTATTAAAAAAGAGAAAGAACAAATAAAAAACCAGATAAAAAAATCGTTTCCTGATTTCAAAACAAAGCTACAATGATTAAGACACACTATAACTAAGGCTACAGCAGCCAACAAAGAACTGAGAAGATAAGCGACTCTGAGGAGTGTGGTCAGGGATTTTCCAGAAAGGACCAAAGCTACCCACTGCAGGAGAGGATAGAGCTCTGAACAAGGGATTCAGAACAAATCATCTTCACATACAAGAGGACTTCAGACACATCACATACACTTTACTGAGCAGAGCTAAAGAATTACTAAAGCCAACAGATATTTCCAAACTTTCTGAGATTGCTACATGGCATTGCCATCCATGAATGGCACAAGAGCTATCCTGAAATACATGTGGACTACAGGTGGGACAAGCCGACATCAAATCTTAAAATAAAAATATAGGAGAAAATCTTTGTGATCTTGACTAGGGAAAAAAAATCTCAGGTCTAATAGTAACAGCACAATTCACAAGGGGGGGGGATTTAAATTAAATGCATTACTCAGCATTTGAACATCAAATTTTATTTTAAAAATAAACTAGGAGAGAGTGCCAGACAGGAGGTCTTGTACTCAGGTTACACACTGGTGAGACCTGTGACAAACACAGAGCTGACGAGACCAGACACCACACTTGATCTTACTGAAGGCTGACAGGTGACCAAATACATAAAACACTTACAAGCTAAATAGGAAGACAGACGACCTAACTTAAAAACAGGCAAAATATCTGAGTATCCTTCCCACCAAAGACAAGAACACAAAAAGATCTTCACTATCAACCCACTGGCAAAGTCCAGATTAAAAGCATCACGAATTCCTTCACATCATTTAGGATGGTCACCACAAAAACACAAATAATGACAGGCAAGATGTGGAAGAACTGGAATACTCACTCAACACACTGCACATGGGCATTTGAAAAAACACAGGCAGTTTCTTAAAAATTTGCCATATGTCATAAATGAAATAAAAGAAATTTAAATGCTTACATAAAACTTCTAGACCAATGTTTACAGTCATATTCCAATGCTTAAAAACAACCTAAACATTCTAAATGTCCACTAACAGACACAACGTGGTTAAACCATATAACCAACTACAACTCAGCAGTAGGAGGAATTCCTGACAACATAACACACGGGTAAACTCTGAAATCAGCATGCTAAAGCAAGCAAGCCAGAAGCAAAGGCTGCATCATCAGCGACTCGACTGAACTGTGCAGAATGGGCAGGATGAGGGTTCCCAAAGCTGGGAATAGCTGTAAACAAAAACAAGGGAGTTTCCCAGATAGAAACAGTCTAGATCAGATATGCTGATGATCGCACAACTCATTGTGAATGCACAAGCCATGGAAACCACAATTACAGTGCATTTTAAACAAATTGCTATGAAAAGCTAAACATTTAAAACTATAGCCTAAAATAAACTCCTCCCAACAAAATGTACTTATTCAGCCATCTATGATGGTAAAAGCCAAAGGAGACAAACACATAACTAAGTAGGATGCAGAGAAACGGAAATGTTCTCACTGCTGATGGGGATGTGAACTGCTAAAGGCACTTTTCAAAGTCTGGCAGATCACCAGAAGTGAAGAGTTGCACGAGATCAAACAATTCCACCCCTGACATATTCCTAAGAAAAGGGAACAGGCTAACACATGAAAATGTGGACATGCTCACCTAGTTTTGTTGAAATAGGCAAAAAAGGAGAAAATCATATCCATGAACTGAATGACAAAACAAAATGTGGCATTCAGCTAAGTGGAGTATCTAATCACAAAGATAATAAATGTGCTATGGTCTAACATAAAAGCATTAGGTGAAATGCAGCCCCACACCCTAGAGCAAAGCACAAGGTATATGGCCGGTCAGCAGTGGTGCAGGGAGTACTGACTTCTACCCAGATTCCAAAGTCACCATGAGAAGACTTGCACTTGTGTCAAACTGGCTTGGGGATCCACCATGGGATACATGTTTAAAAATTGATCAACAAATGCTTCTGGCAAGCAGGAGACCAGATCACTCTGTCCAAAGAAGGATGCAGGCACCTTATCAACCTCCAGATTTGAGTGTAGACGGGCTCATTCTGTTTTCCTACATGGGGCTTTCATAAAAAGATTTAAGCGTTCCTAAGTTAAATGACATCAGTTACCACAGTGTATGCTTTCGGTTGTGGATCATCTTGGAAGAAGATGTGTGCTAGCGGGCTGCTTCTCTCTAGTGTCTATTATGAGAGCAAACTCA